GAAGTCCACAAGTCTTAAAGCTGTCAAGTTTGAAGACCCTTGGTTTAGGGGATCTGTTTCTTCTCATATCTAATCAATGTCTTATTTTGTCTTTCTCTGCCCTATATAAAGTCTTGAACCCTTTAATAAAATGCTTTTTGTTTCCCCCAAAGTATTTGTGATTCTTATTGTCAGTGGTGAGGCGAGCAAAAAGTCACTTTGCAAAGGTGTTGAGTGTTTCTGCCTCAAATTCAGGGGGTAAGTACTTTTCAACTCCACACCAACTCAGGTGCCTGATTTTCAAAAAAATAATATGGTATCCCTGTTGATTGGTAGTTTTCTGCATTTGAGCATGATTACTCTGGAAGGCATCTGGTTATATTTTATAACCAGGAACAATTGTGCTCATATATCATGTTTAAAAACTTAAATAACGGTTCTATTTTTCAATACAATTAGTCCTCAACTTATGACCAATTGCTTAACAACTGTGAAAGCATTTATGCCACAGAATGGTCACACCCCTGCCATCACAGGTGGTCATACTGCTCCCCCCAATCATGTGATTGCAAATTGGGTGTTTGGATACCAACCAACTTTATAACTGGTTGTGCCATTTTGTGGTCATTTGACTGATTTGTAATTCAAATCCATTTGAATGAATCGATTCATACTTATGACAACAAATTTGCTTAATGACTGGTGCAAAAAATGTAAAATCACTTTGAGTCACATGGGTGCCTCGGCTTACAACCCTAATGACTTATGACCAGATTGCCAATCCCAATTCTGGCCATAAGTTGAGAACTACCTATAGTCACAATATCATTTTCAGGTTGGTTGGGAGCTGATCCTATATGTTAATTACTATGCCAGTGGTGAATGCTCAGGCAACTAATCTGTTTTTGCTTCCCTTTCTCTTTAAGGAGGAAAGAGTATCTTGCCAGGAAAAGTCAATATTGTTGAATAAATTTCCCCTTTCCTTGTTTTCATTTTCGTATCTGGGACGAGGAAGGTATGGACGATCCAATCCTCGTTTCAGGCCATAAGCACTCTCTCTTCATCTGGAAACCAAATGAACAAGTTTGAATTCCTCATTTTCCATCAATGGAATGATTGCACCAATTGAATATTGAACAGTGTTAGCTTATCTCAGAGGTGGTATTCAACAGGTTCTGACCAGTTCTGGAGAACTGGTAGCAGAAATTTTGAGTAGTTCGGAGAACCGGTAGCAGAAATTTTGAGTAGTTCAGAGAACCGGTAGTGGAAATTTTGAGTAGTTTGGAGAACCGGCAAATGCCACTCCGACTGGCCCCGCCCCCATCTATTCTCTGCCTCCCAAGTCCCAGCTGATTGGCTGGGTCTTCTTTGGTTGCCCTGCACAAGAGAATGGAGCTGGAAAGCAGGTTAGTGGGGTGGGGAGGGAATGGGGATTTGCAGTAACGTTCCCCCAGGAGGGGGGAGGGAATGGAGATTATACAGTATCCTTCCCCTGCCATGCCCACCAAGCCATGCCCGCCAAACCAGCCATACCCACCAAGCCATGCCCACAGAACCGGTGGTAAAAAAATTTGAATCCCACCACTGGCTTATCTCTTAGCTCTTTTAAACAAGCATTGGCATTCCCTATATTCAAAGTCTTAAAAGTCCTGTCCCCACAGAAACAAGCAGTGAAGTTTCTGAACTCCATTTTTCTTTTAAGCTAATTGACTTGATAGGCAACTTACTTCTATTTGTTGCAAGTCCTTCTATGAATACTTAGTTGGGGTGGAAAGACCACTGTGTAGTGAATAAAATGTTCTGAGTTTTCTTTTTGCATTTACAAGACTTTTTTTTAGTCAAGCGAATGTCCCGGGCTTACTTGGACACACATATTGTGGCCTAAATAGTGAGTTTGTTATAAATTACTGGAATGTGATATATAAATCTTAAAAGAAGAATTATGGGCAAGGCAGTATCACTGTGCTATAAGCAAGAAAGTTGTCTGTGTGTGTGTGTGTGTGTGTGTACACATACACACACATATATATACACACACATACATATGTACACACATATATACACATACATACATACATACACACACATATATACATATGTATATGTACACACACACACACATACACATGCATACATACATACATACATACATACATACATTCATACATACATCCTAGGGTCAGTCCGATCTTTATGCACCATGAAGTGACTGTCTTGGGAATTAGGGATATCCTGAAAGCAGAACAAATTGCTATTTTATGTATTATTTATTTTTATTATTGTTGCAATTTTTGTTATTGAAATCATTGCTGATTCCTGGCAACTGCCTGGACTAATCCCTTTAGCTTTCTTGGTAGAATTTCAGAAGTGGATTATTATTGCCTTTTTTCTGGGGCTGAAGGAGAGTCACCTAGCTGGCTCTGTACCCAAGGTGGGACTAAAACTCATGATCTTCTGGTTTCTAGTCCAGGATCTTAACCATTGCATCAAATTATTTGCCACTGGATTTTGTGAGTTGAATTTACATTTAACACATTGTCTTCCTTAGGCATCTAGTACAAGTAGTTGAATGCTGATTAGGTCTCTCACTGAAAGTGATTATATTTCATTTTTATGCTGCCTGGTAAAGTTGTATGTTGAGAAATCCTGTTTAGGAACTGAATGAACTGAAGTACCTATGAGCTTGGATTGTTAGGCTCAAGGATGCTTCAAAATATATGACACCCTATCACTGTATACATTCCACTGATCCCAAGATCGCGATTGTCAAAATCTGTTCTTCTGCTTTAAACAATTAAACATCCCAGATGTGGGTCCTCTGGTGTGACTCTTCTCCCTCACTCCATTCATAGCATCAACCATCATCACAGGAAGAGTCAATATTTTACTTGCTATACGGAAGTCATTATTGCATTATGTGCCAATTCTCAAACCAACATCAATTCTTAAATAGCTTTCACAAAAGTTAATCACTTTTTCCCATAATGGCAATAGCAATAGCACTTAGACTTATATACCGCTTTACAGTGCTTTACAGTCCTCTCTAAGCAGCTTACAGAGTCAGCATATTGCCCCCAACAATCTAGGTCCTCATTTTACCCACCTTGGAAGGATGGAAGGCTGAGTCAACCTTCAGCCCCGTGGGATTTGAACTGCCAAATTGTAGGCAGACGGCAGTCAGCAGAAGTAGTCTGCAGTACTGCACTCTAACCACTGCACCACCGTGGCTCATGAATAATTTAATAAATGAATTAAAACATCTCCCAATTTCAGCTATTAAGAACTAAGATGGGCGATTTTAAAATACAATCTATCATTTGTTTTTCCTTTCTACATTAACAACTGGCACTTCCTTATATTCATCTACAATACATACTTATGTATATAATTGCCCAGTTTCTCTCTTTCTGTGCCAGATTGACATTATGGGCAACTTTCTTTGTCCCTGCAAAGAAACAGGCAAAAGTCTGAAAGGTCTAATCAGCATTCAAACTGCTTGTATTGGGTGCCTAATAGTATTAGGAAAGCAATGTGTTAACTGTTAGTTGCACTCAGGCAAAATCCAATAAAACTCAGCAACAACCCTTCCAGGCATTCATCCAGGCATTGTTTTAGACAGCCTCTGGTCTTCTGAAATGGGGAAGTAGAAGCAGAAATTGCAAAAGAAAGCTGGTGAGTGGAACAAGTTTGAATATTATTGGCTTTTTATTTTGTTCTTTGTTTTATTTCTAATTGAGACAATTGCTTTAAAAAGTATTCCATTGTAAATGTTTCTTTAGAAGTGTTCCCAGATAAGAGACAGGCAAACTAAGGCAGTAGAATTAATTTTGGGAGACTATACTTGACTCTAACAAGAATAGGTGTGGCTATCATAATTTCAGCATTGGGCCATAAATAGCTTTTGAGAAGGCTCAATCGTAACTTTAGTCATTAAGCAACCATGTGTAAGTTGAGGACTGCATTTTAATCTAGAGCACCTAGATTTCAGTCTATATATTTAGTATTGGAATATTTATAGAAAAATAGTACGATATTCCTTTTTTTCTTAAAGAGGAAGAAGACTAAGCGCACACCAATATGTCTGCTTGCTCAGATTGAATCCAAACATACAAATTCAAATGTTTGTTTCTACCTCTGGGTCACCTGAATTAGAGTAAAAATATTGTTGGAAGCATAAAAAGTTCAAAGTGCATCAGACTGTTACTGATTAATTTCAAGAAACCCTGTCAAAACTCAACAGCTGAAACAATCACAGTATCAAAGGTCATCTGATCAAATATATGATCTTTCAGAACACTCTGTCTTCACTTGATCTGTCTTTTCAATCTTCTTTTCTCTCTCCCCAGTCTATAAGGACATGGCAATGGCCTCTTCATCTTTACAGCATGCTTTTATTTTTATACTCCTGGGGAGCATCAGGACTTTAGCCTTGGACAAATATATTGCAGCAGTATTCGAACATGCAGTCATACTGCCAGAATCCACAGTGAAACCTGTTTCCCCCGAAGAGGCCTTAAAACTGATGAACCAAAACATAGACATCTTAGAAGATGCCATCCAAAAAGCAGCAAAGCAGGTACTGGGCACTACTTGTTAATATGCATTTGTTGGTAAAATGATTGTCCTGCAAGGGAAGGAGATTTACCTTCACTTCTTTTGACAGGGAGCACATATCATTGTGACTCCAGAAGATGCCATATATGGATTTTTCTTCACCAGAGAGACCATTTATCCTTACCTTGAGGACATTCCAGACCCACAGGTCAACTGGATTCCATGTACTGATCCTGAAAGGTATCTTGTGCTTTGCTTTTGTGCAGTCTCAGTTGAAAGGCATTTGAACATGGTAGCCTACTCTTATGTTTGTGTTTTAGTACTACAATGTACACCCTGACATGAAGGAAGGAAGGATCTCTTCCATGGTAGCATCCCATTTAGATATCTATTAGACCTCACCTGTTATCATCTGTATATGTCATACAGATAAGTTAAGCCATAGTATCCATCCACCTTGACCAACATGGCCATATCTTGCTTACTTGCTTACTTGCTTTTTTGTTTGCGCCAAGGTGGTGCAGTGGTTAGAGTGAAGTACTGCAGACTGACTACTTCAGCTGACTGCTAGCTGCAGTTTGGCAATTCAGATCTCACTGGCTCAAGGTTGACTCAGCTTTCCATCCTTCCAAGGTTGGTTAAATAAGGACCCGGATTGTTGGGGGGAATATGCTGACTCTGTAAACCACTTAGAGAGGGCTGTAAAAGCACTATGAAATGGTATATAAGTCTAAGCGCTATGCTATTTATCACACCCATTGCCCTCAGAGAGGGGCTCTAGAATATAATTTAATCAATAAAATTAAGAATTAAAAAGAATATTATTTTAAAAACAATATATAAAATTACAAATTACAAAAAATGGGGAACATGTCAATATCTGTCAGATAGACTGGGATGGATTTAATCTAAGATGAAATAATTGTCAGCAATATAATAATTAGGGCCTGGGTACATATTTATAGCCAACTTTCTCCATAGCACTCAGGCAGTGCACATAATCTCTGTTTCTGTTTTTATAACCACTCAAGGAATAGGATGAAAAATGATATCTGCTTCAAGAACCTCCAAAATGTTTGCAACAGACTGCAAATTTGAACTAAAGCCAGCATTCTAGCCAGGCTTAGCTGATCTTGCAAAAGCTAAGGGTCAAAATGAATACAGTAAGCATTTGGATGGGAGGTACCAGGATATCTCACTGTTGTAAGGCAAGCCTGAGAAATGGATAAAGTATCTCAGGAGGAAATGATAAACCACTTCCATATTGATGAGAAAACCATATAAGTACAGCCATGTAATCAGCAGAAACCCATCTTGAGTCAAAAGATATGCCAAGCTGTGCCCTAGTCCATCCATCACAGTAATTCATTCCCATTTTTAAGTGTGTTCTTCTAATCTTTAACTGCGCTTGCTAAAGGTGCTCAGGAGTGAAAGAAGAGGAAATGGGGAGTGAGGGTCAAAAGAAGATAGTCACTGTTCCCTTTTCCTTATGTTCCTAGATGGGTGATAGTGTGTCGAACAGGATCATCTGAGATCCATACATACAGGAATGCTTAAAATTTCAAGTGTAGTTAAAGACAGTTAACAGCTTTCGTGAAACTCAGCATGACTCCCAAAGAATTTTTTTCATTCAAAATTTGCTGTTCCAAAGAAAAGCGCAAGCAGCGTGTTGGCAGAACAGCTACATCTAGTTTTTTACCCATCTTGATCTCTTGCAGAAGAAACCAGGCAACCCTTCACTTAGCAACTAGGTATTGTCATTGCCACCCCCTGCTAAATTTTAATGGCTGGGTCAAAAACACATTTTGGCACAAGGAAAAGGCAGCATTTGGCAACCCGACATAATTTGGCAAAAAAAAAAAAAAAAGGAAGCCGGGGGGAAAAAATCACATTTAACAGGGAAAAGCAAAGGAAAGGGGGGGGGGGGGGGGGGGGGGGGGGGGAGATCTCTTTCTTTAAAGAGAAATTCTTTTTTGCAGAATGAAATTATTTTTCATGACCAAGTGTTTATTATAGCCGTCTCTTATAAAAGCCACCAATTACTTATGAAATGCATAGAACATATTTGCAAGTGTTTATCTTTTTTTTTTTTTATTAAGAAAAGTCTGGGAGTCTAGTTTTAAGCAATTTGTTGGCTTAGTGCTAGTCATGCTCTGATAATCAACACAAAGATTCTTTGTCCGGTTTCTTGATTACTTGATTTCTGGACAATCTCCCACCAACTTTTTCCCAGTCTGGGGTAAAGGGGTACTTTCTGATCATGCCTCAATAACAGAATATAGAAGGAATGAATACTGTAATACAGAGTAGATGCAATGTTACATCAAGGTAAACTATATTTGTAAATGAATTTGCTGCTGGGGAAGGGGGAATAGAAGAAATGAGTGGTAATCGTACAAAACAATCCTGATGCTGTTGACCAGGTATAAACAAATGTTCTGCAACATGCATTTCTCTGGCCTATGTTATTTTTATTTAACCCAATTACTGCAAGTAGATGAAGAAATTATGTACATTAATTTACTTGTTTATTGAAAGTGGGGGAAAAACTGGAGAAATTTTATGTCATGTACATTTGGTAGAAAGTGTACCAACAGTTGTAAAGAATGCATGGGCTCTGAATAGATTTGGATTGAATACAAATAAGTGACCAGTATGAATGAAAGGCAGGTAAATACATTGAAAGTATAAGGAAGAGTACAAGGAAG